GATTCTTCATTTGCATAGCATACCTAAGTCTTTGTTATTATTCACTATTACATCACATGTTATTATTGTTTGGGCTGAGTGGTACGAGATTTGTGAGCCTGTGAGACTTTAGAAATTGATGACTTGGTGGGCCTAAGAGTTGTGTTGTGAGTGTTATTGAGGATGGGGTTGCTCGTCGCAGCAGGCCGTATTGGCTTATCTATTATTGTGGATTGGATTGTATGCCGCAGCAGGCCTTTTAGGCTTTATATTATCGCATGAGTAGGATCCACCCCTCCATATTCTGACATACTAGCAGTGAGCATAGGCACAATGATATATATACGTGATTTAGGTGAAGGGCATTGATGTCAGGCACCCGTACAGTGCTGAGTGATTGTGTATGTGATGAGTGGGCATTTGAGACAGACAAATTGTGTACTTTGAGAGTGTGAGTACCTGGGAATATCACTATGAAATCATACATTTGACATGTATAAAAATATGTAGCCATAAAGATGTACCATTCCTCATGCTAGCTGCACTTGACATATTTTTATATGCGTCAGGCTTTAATATTGAATTTGAAAGCATGTCTAAATTTTTGTACCTGAACGAGCTGATTATGGAATTTCTATGAGTTATTTATTGTCATTGTCATTATCATATTTGTGTTGTCATTATATTTGGTTTTGACTGTAACCTTCCGAGCTCGTCACTACTTTCAGCCCAAGGTTAGTTTTGCTAATTATTGAGTACATGAAGTTGGTTCTACTCATACTATACTCTTCACTTCGTGTGCAGATCCAGGTACATATGGACGAGGTGATTGCTAGATCTGTGCTAGTACCTGCTCGGAGACTTTGAGGTAGTACCTGCGCCAAACATCAAGTTTTTGGAATGGAGACCAATAATCAGACCAATTTGTTAAACAATTGGTGATGGCTGTCAGCATTTGAAACCAAAAGTTCACCTTTTTAGATCTTTTGTTAGACTTCTGCTCTTTTTTGAGCAAATTACTGTGAGACAGAAGATCACAAATTGGTACTCATATTGTTAGATAAAGACTAGTCGAGAAAGTAAGGTCGGTGTGCAGTTCAATTCCAAACATGTTATTGTCCATCAATGATACTAAAAAAAGAGAGCGCTTTCCATTTTGATCATTTTGACACAGGGGATGAAGAAAGTGGACAAAACTGACTTGCATTTCTCATTGAACAAATACATCCCGAAAAGAATCATATTGAAAACGCTCCTAACCCAACCTATTCCTTTGTATAGCAGTGATCCAGGAATGGTCATGATTGATAGTCAATGACTAAATGCACTTGAGCTGGAAAAGACTTACTAAGTCGTGAGTTTACCTTGCCAGCACAGTGAAGAAATCTTTCAACGGCAAGAGATATAGCAACAATAACAGTGCAGACCAAGGCAACCACCCATGTTGGTGTATACTCCAAGTTTGTTTCTTTAGCTCCCTCATCTTTCTCAATTCCACCAATATTTAGGAGTGACCAATATAAAGGAAATATTAGAGTTCTAATTAATAGTAGTACAATGCCATCGCTCATTCTGTTTGCTAAAATATGTTGAAAATGAGAGTGTATCCGAGGGAATAAGATCAAGGAAATGGTCAGAATACTTGAAGTAGTAGTTCCAAGCTAAACTCTTTTTGCTATGTCATCAGTCATCATGTACCTTAAAATTAAAAAATGATTTCCTACATTCTTCTAAGCGTTAAAGCATCTTTTTCTTTTTTTGTTTTTTTCTCCAAAAGCTTGTTTCATAAATCTAAAAGCATAAGAGCATTGAGGAAATATTGCCTAAATAATAAGCATAAAAATTATTACTCCTCAAAAGATTTATGGAAAAAGTGAAATGTTACTCCCTTTATCCCAAATACGTGAAAGGTTCGGAGTACGAGGATTATAACACCTTACTTTGATACTAGGGGTGTGCATTCCATTTATCGATTCGATTTTGACCCTTATCGATAATTACTTATCGATTATCGATTTGTACATATGCTTATCGTTATCGTTTCAATAAGGTTTCGATTTTTTCGATTTCGATTTTTTCGATTTCGATTTATCGATTTTTGGGGCTTATCGATTCGGTTATCGATTACACCAATAAGAAAATTTGCAGGATTCCACGAAAAGTATATCGCTATAAGCACGCCTAACTAATATGGACAAAAAGAAGCTAAAATAAGACAAACACCGTTTATAACATAAAAACTGTGTCAATAAGCACATGCAACGAAACTAAAGCATATGCTTATGATAGGAAAAAGGGACCGTTGATTTAACTTAGTTCCAAAAATTAGCTCATCGGGTGAGGATTTTATGAATTTATGCAATCCGTCAAACTATGTGGAACACTGTAACACACCCAAATGCCTAGGCCACAATCCGAGCGTGGATAATATAAAATGGGTCCTCAATATTGGGAAACACATAAAAAAGATTGTCATGCTCCAAAGATCATACGTCACGAGAAACGATCACAAAATGCCAACTATTCACACTCAATAAAATACATTGACAAAGCGAGAGAGATTTAAACTTCTATATCTCCATTATAACAAAGCCCCATGACCCTACGGGGCTCAAGCTGATACAAATACACCATGAACAAGCGTTTGGAGGAGAAACGAGAAGAGAATAGAGGCGAAGGGGAGGAAGGGAGTGAGAATCACATAGAAATCAACTGTATTTTGGAGTCAATTTGTATTCAAGAAAAGCAGCTTTTGAATTTTGCCACTATAGAGTAGAAATTACACAAAAGCACGTAAGAACAACAGAAACATGGAAGATTAGACGCCAAACAATAAGTCCACAATTTTGGACACCACAGATTTGGCTGGGGTAGCAACAGATCCAGATGATTGTTTTGCACTATTGCTGCCATTTTGTAGATAGTGAGGATGAGAGGAGGTTTGAAATGGAATTGGATTATTGCTTTTACTGGAGGGAGTATGTGGTAAAGGTATAAATCCTTGTTTGTTGAGCCTACAATTCAGTGCCTGACGTTGTATTGGATCCACTAGTTCAACTCCGATCATAAGAACTCCATTTATATGCATAGGAGGTATGCGGGAGAGAGGGAGAAAGGTAAAAGCGGCACTGAAGAATGGGTAGATGAAATAATAGGGTTAGGGACCTAAGGTAAAGGAAATTGTATTATAGAATAAGGGTATATTTGTTCTTTTTAGTATATCTTATCGGTTTATCGATAAACTGATAACCAAAGAGGATAAAATCGAAATCGAAATCGATAACTTGATAAGGAAAATTTCGAAATCGAAATCAATAAATCGATAAACCGATATCAAATAATCGATTCGATTTATGGATAAAGCGATTCGAATGCATACCCGTATTTGACACTAATCCTTTTATCCCAGTTATGTGAAAGGGTTCGTAGCACGAGGGTCAAAGGGGCGCCTACTTTTCAGTTTGAATTTGGGCATAAAAATTTTCAAGTTTTATTAAAATAAAATTTAACTTGTGATAATTAAGCAAATATTAATTGGCTTTCAACGGGAAACTACCATGTGAAATTCACGCCAACTTATGAATAAAATGTTATCTACGCTCAATTCATGGATCTCACAAATTTTAATCATAAAGTCTTTAAGTTAAAAGGTAAAATTATTCCGGAAAATTTCACATTAGAATAACTTGGCTCCCTATTTTTCAATTTTATAGTCATATTTCAATTTACAACTAACTAACCCAAAAATAATAGGCTAAGATTCAACATTCAACTCCAATAGGTTCTCAAAATTACTATTTAATTTTTAAAAAAGATTCCTCAAGCTTTTAAATTAATTTTCGAATCAGTAACTGTGACTCAAATATTAATTCAACAAACCAAATTCATTTGGGTGGTGAAAATTAGATTTTTAACAAGTTTAAATATGTGGGTTTAAATTCCGAATTTGATTTTGTGAGAAATTTGGAGTGGGTATTATTTAGACTTGTTAGAAATAGTATAAGAAGGTTGTAAATAAAATTTGAAGTCATTTAATGGAGATTTGAACTGGCTTTGAACAAGAATTGCAACTGAAAATCGTGGAATAAGTTCGTCTACAGAAGTTTATATAAAGGTGTATAAAAATGTATAATAGTGTATAAGGTGTGTTTCTACACTCATATACGCTATTATACAAGATTATACATAATTATACAAAAAAACTAACTTCGTCTTCTTCCTTGCGTCTTTTCTGAAATTTAACTCAAATCTTGCTCAAATCTACTCCAAATCACTTCAAATTTAAAATTTGAACTCCTTTTGATATTTTCAATCAATTGGAATAACACCCAATCCAAACAACTAACAAATTCAAAAAACCTCATTTTCAAAAGCAAAGCTTTGAATGGTCTTCGATGGTGGACTTCTACTCTTCAATTTTCTTACATTGCAAGTAGGTGACACAAGATAAGAAGCAGAAAATACACGGTCCCTTGAAGCATATGTAGAAGATGTGAGAAGAAGAGAGTGAAAGCAATGGTTGTGAGAACACGAATTTAACTCCATAGCTTTTAGAAGCAATGGTTGTAAGAACACAAATTTTGAATTTGCTAGTGCTTTCAAAATATGTATAATGTAGGCTAGGTGGTATAAATCTTAAAAACATGGGCCATTTTTTGTTTTGATGTGAAGTCATGTGTATTTTCTTGTAATTCTTTCAAATTATTCTACCATCTGAAAAGTCAAATATCACGTCCATATGAAAAAGAAATAAATAACCATTGACCAAATACCCCAAAAATCTTTTACAAATTTTATATGTGATCATCCGCATTCACTGGAATTATAATCCAGTAACATCAGAGCTGAGCAAGATAAATGATATAATTCAAAACATAAAATACTAAATAACCCTACTTCTCCCCCTCCTCTCATAACCCCGCAATTCCAAAGCAAAAAAAAAAGGCAGGGAGAGAGGGAGGGGGGGAGGGGGAGTAATTACTGACTGTTATAATAAATAAAATTCAATTACTTTAATGTGATAAATATAATTTTGTAGCTTAAAGTTGAATAAGTGCGTCTTACATATATAATTGATTGCTATAGCAGAATGGTTGACAATGACCTCCTGACTTCTGTCATCTCCTTCAACTAATATCTTATCGGCTCTTTCTTTGCCTACAATTATCCAATCTATTCGTTTGGACCAAAAGTTTCTACTGTGAACTCTTTTCTCAAAAGATCTCCACAAGACTTGTCCAAAAAAAATCTATTTCTTTTTCAAAATCTCCACAAATAGTTTAGGACATGATAAGATGTCAATCAACAACCAGTAATTTTCAAGTTAGATGCTCAAAGCAGCAGAAAAGAGATGTTCACGCCTACTTCCTACGAACTTCTGCCGGAATTGCTCGAATTTTCCTTCTTGAATTGCCTCTCTGATAGAGCAAAAGAACCCCAGATAATGATGCGTGTTATGTCTGGGAAATGAAAAACAAGCCACATTAGGTATCATGAAGACATGACCACAAAGGCGAGAGAAAAGGGCACAAGAGCTTCACACATTTCCAAAAGAATATGAGCAAGCATCTCATGGACATTGAAGAGGTGATTGATGTATGCTTTTGTATGATTTTGGCAAGTATAACACTTGCAATTATCGACGATAGGTGATGTATCCTTCCTGCAAGAAGGGGTGCGAGGGAGGACAGAAAATGCATTATCAGAGAACTTCATCTCATTATTTTGCAAGGAAGCCACCCCAGGAGGCCCCAAGCTAAGTTATTGAGGGGTTATAGCCAGACTACATTCTATCATTTCTATTGGTATAAAAACGAGCATAATTGTAGCTACGCCAGTATGCTGCTAATTTCACTTACACCGAGTATCACAAGAAGTCTGAAGTAGAATAAGACTTACCTATACATGGTTGCTTTCAAATTTATCTTTGTGCCATCACTTCCTGAATCACTATTTGGTTGGTATTTTGTAATTTGTGTTACTATTCTTTCAAGCGGAAAGGTGAGAGCAAAGCCTCCCAGTGTAAGATGGTAGATGTAGCTGGAAAATAATTCCAATGTCACAATCGCAAAGCTCAGAGAATCAGATATAGAGAGGAAAGAAGTCACCAATATGCTGAGCTAGCACTTACGTGGAGTCAAATAGGTCAATACCTGCAGCAACACCTTGCAAGACCTCTTCTGTAAAGATAAAAGATTTAATCCATTCAGCCACAAAAAAGTATATAATTATTAATTTAAATATCCAAAAGTTTTCACAGCGAAAAGCAAGTGGGTTTAAATAATCTGGTGGATATTGAAGTTATTTCTTTAGACTAGCTATATAACAAACAAGCTCCTCTTCTATTTTCAAACACAATATCAATCACTACGTTGGCATGCACCGGTAATGCAAATATTTTTCTGGGAGTGCAACAGCGAATGAGTGAAAGAAGACCGACTGGAGAAGACAGGAAGAGATGAACAAAGATAGAATTGTAAACATTCAAGATGTCTTTACCTGGTAGTCCGAGGCCACTTATAAGACGTGGTTTTTCTTGAGGTAAACTATCCTGCAATCAGTAACATCATAGGCCACCAAATATTTTAGTTTTCCACAGTATGCAAACAAGTGAAACCATTTACAGTGTACCAAATCCGATAAAGGACCATTGTAAACATAACTCACAGAAATCCATTTCTCTGAAATTAACATTAGTAAAAATAAAAAGTTAACATGAGCATTGACCTTCGAGTGAAGAGACTGAATGAAGATGAGTGGCAATTTATGGACCTGAAGGAGATCATAAAGGAAATCTTTACACAATACAGAACCACCTATAACTAGATTACATGTATAGCAAATGTGGCACATGAACCGCTTAAACCAGCACCAAACTACTCCAAGAAACGCAGGACCATAGATGATCCACAACTAATATTAAGAACCCATATTATGGACTCTTCACTTTGGCTATATGCACCCGATTCGAGAGGGATGACGTAGATGCAGACTATCGATATGAACCTTCAAATAAACTAAAAAACTGATAAAAGATTGACTCATGCGGCATTCGAGTCAAACTCAGATCAGTTTACACTTTATATTACATAAGGTGCTAAGTAGTCAACAGAGCTCCTTAAAGTATAAGGGGAATAGCACCCAAAGGTTTGGTCCAATGGCAAAAGTAGAAGAGCACGAAAGATGTGGTAGGCGCATGTGACGAGTTTGAATTCTGCCAGGGAACCAAGTTTAGTGTTTAAGTGGAGAAAGTTAGAGGAGAGGGCTCGTTATCCACTAAGTTTCGAAGCTGGAAACAACAGATTTTTTCATTTGACTAGCAAAAAAAAATGGTATACGGGGAATAGACTTAAAGCAAATTGCTTATCAAGACATCTTACGATCAGATTCCTATCTTTATGCGCATTAGGTAAGTTCAAAAACAGTGGTGGGCCTATCCTTGCCTTCCACATTCGTTTCAAAAGCAGAACTTCTTTAGAAGCAAAAGTATTTTCTGCCAAAAGAAAAAGAACAGAAGCCTGATATACCATAAGAGAACCATACCATAACAGCACTAAGGAGGGGGTTGCGCTCTTCCATGCTCTCCCCTAGTCCAAATCCACCAATCCAAAATCCTGCATTGACCAAAAGAATTCTAAAGATTAATAGGACAATAACAAGTGACCAAACAAATAAATATATAGACATGAGTCCTTTGAATATTTAACTAAAGTAAACTTCAGCGCAACAGAATCACTTGTAAATGATGGCAGATCAAAAAGGACCAAGATCCCCTCTCTGATAATAGCTGTAATCGTTCAATTCTGCCAGAAAGTCTTTTCCGTGAAAGGAATTCATTAGTGGGTGCAAGATATTTTCAGATGTAAAGATACTCATGAAACAAAAGAACTTTCTCCGACGTTGTTGAAGATCAGTTTAGGGCCTTTAGGCATGTCTTAGAAAAAGCCTTATACCTTGGATAATAAAAACTCTAATTGATTTTATTCGTTATTAAGAGGATTTCACTTACAATTGCCACATACTCTAGGTGTTTTTTGACCTGGACTTTGGTGTTCCTCGTAGGATTGGATTTCAGTTACAATTACGAATACAGTGGCAATAGAAGTAAATGTCCTCAGAGAGAGGGAGAGAACAAACCTTCTACATTCCTCCTAGAAACTTCTTGGGCACAACTTTGGCGCACTTCAACCCTAGAGCCTCCAACAATGGATCCAAACACTGCTCCATCCTTCTACACTTTAGCAGTTACAACACTTCTTGATGAGATTGTGAATCGCAATATACTTGGTAGGTCTAACAACACCTGAATATAATTTTTTAAAAAGAAAAGGAAATAGGAGAAGGAACAAATAGGATGAATGTATGTACCTAGTTAACAAGATGATATGACGACATTCTATTAATTATATATACATGACCAAGGAAACACAAAAACTACCCTCCTAAAACATATATTGCAAGAAAAGTACAGTACATAATGACCATCAGGGGTGGATGCACGTTGCTACATGTGATACTGCTTGCTGAACTTTACCAAATATACATGCAGATAATAATTAATAAATAAAACAGAGAATAATTATATTTGGACGACACCACTTGACAAATGGAATTATTCCAATCCAGTGTCATGCCCATTGCTTGCCATATGAAAAGTCTGTTGGGATCGAAATAATATGGTGCATGCGGAAGCTAATAATGCAAAGCTGGGTGGACGATAAATTAGACAAGAAAGAAAATATACTAAAGAATATGACATTATTATGGAGTTTGGTCAATTGACCTACATATAAAACTAGTATAAAAATTAGAAACTATTGAGAGAAAAATCTCCCCTAAACAAGACTCATTAATGACTACATTGTGGATGTTATTGTTGTTGTTCTTGTTGTGAGAAGAAAACATCAATTTATAGAAATACAAAACTTCTCCTCCAAGAAAATGATAAGGCATATGAAAGAGATTTATTGCTTTTAGGAGTCTTTTTCCTTTCCCTCAAAAAAGAGAGCCTAATAGAGTAGAAATTCAGGGCAAATTTCTAACAATTCTCCCCTTGGCCTGAATTTTCATGACAAAACTTGATTTGCCTTCTTCACATAATCTTCATTATTCCTGCTTGCCATGATTAAAAATCGGTATGGATTGAAAATTGGAGCTCATGCATTAAAAGTAAGCATGAGTTAAAAATAATTTTATTTTTAAAGATGAAGCAGCAGGAATATTGCAATTATGGTAAAAATTAGTTCACCACATGTAGTACTCTAGACAAATTTTTTCTTCTTGAATTAAAAATCTTCATAATCGTCAAATTAGTTGCGACTTGATTTGAACCTGCCTGAATCTGTCTTCGATCTTGCTTCAAACCATTGGCTCTGATACCACTTGTTGGGATCGAAATAACATTGTGCATGCAGAAGCTAACAATGCAAAACTGGGTGGACGATAAATTAGACAAGAAAGAAAATATTCTAAAGAATATGACATTATAATGGGGTTTGATCAATTGACCTACATATAAAAACTAGTATAAAAATATAAAAACTATTAAGAGAAAAATCTTTCCTAAACAAGACTCTTTAATGACTGCATTGTGGATGTTATTGCTGGTGTTCATGTTGTGAGAAGAAAACGTCAATTTATAGAAGTACAAAATTTCTCCTCCAAGAAAATGGTAAGGCATATGAAAGAAATTTATTCCTTTTAGGAGTCTTTTTCTCTTTTCCCCTTCCCTCAAAAAAGAGAGTCCTAATAGAATAGAAATTCAGGGCAAAATCCTAACAAAGTCAAGGTTTCAATTCCACATACAGGCTTCATCATATTTTTTTTACAATTAACTAAATAAGAACCCAAAATGACATTAAAACACCAACAATATCAGCAAAGATATCTAGCTGAATTTCACGAAAGCATGTGAAAAAGAAAACAAATACAATCATGGCTCTAAAGAAGCTTCATTATTAAGGATAATAAAGTCTCAAAAATCAAGACTTTTTTTTTCTTTTCAATTGCTTAATATTATTCCCCCTCCTCCCTCCCCCCCCCTCCAAAAAAAAAAACTACATTGATCGCTCATCTGTTCTCTAGCATTTACATATTTCTGAGCGCTCCAACTCAGACTCCACAATTCTTTTTTTACCCCACCTCCAGCCCCGAGCCACCTATCACGTGTGATTCTCCAATAAAGGGTAGCTTCTTTTTTGTTTGTATGAAATAAGTATATTTTTAGATATCTGTTGGGATTAGTGTTAGTAATCTATGATAGGGGTATTGGAATGTAAAGATTTACTTTACCAATTTTCTTTGGAATGGAATGTGAACGTATATTTCATTCTAAAATATCATAATATGAGTCGGTTAAACAAAGATTAAGAAATATGAGTAGCACTTTGGTCTAACCATGTAGAGCTTGCCTAGTCAGGATTTTAATTTGCCATCAGTTAAAAAAAAATTGAGTAGTGTTGTCAAAGGCGTGCTTAAGCCATGAAGCGAGGCTCAAAACATGTTGAGCGCTTCCCCTCGCTTTGCGGGCGCTTCAGCGTCGTCATCAAGTCTTTTAGGCATATTTTTCCTTGTCAATGAGCGTAATTCTTAAGAAGCGCCACTAAACAATTGATGTTTCACTATCATAATTCTTTTTCAATTTCTTTGTCCATATATTTGTTATTCAAACTTATAACTACTTAGGAGCTGGAGAGTACATGCGACTACAGTATCCACATTACTCATTGACTAGTATTGACAAATTGTTTGGGAATTTTTTTAAGGGGAAGAGAGCTGTAACACTCAAATTTTCATAAGAACATTGTATGCACTATAATTGACCCTTCATTGTTTTATCAAAATACGGTGTGGAAATTTTTTTCTTCACCCCTTTATTGAAATTCAAATATTTGTGTTATTTAAACATTTATGTACTAATAGAGAATAAATCTCTATAATCTATGCTTATCGATTAGAAGGTACTTCCAATTCTTTAGAAATACTCAGATATAAATTGAATTTAAGGATAGAATTATTCCTACCGGGTAATATTGGGTGATTGCTCTTCGCGAAATATAGACATAGATTGAACACTATATTATAAAGTAAAAAATCATCTTGGGGGAAGACTATTACATACCTAGAACCTCAAGGACTCTCATGTACATTCTCTAAAACAAGGAGGATCTATAACGCAAATTTGCTAAGTCATTTTATTTGAACCATGAAATCACTTATTTTAGCAATTCTAAGCCTAAGATCTAGGGGACACTTTCCCACTCCTCTTTATTGTCACCAGGTTGAAAAAACCTCATTTTGTCACAACTTATCTTCTTCTTCATTTCCCCCATTAAAGCTCTCAATAGCATGAACTGAAATACTTTTCTTTTCTCATGAAAACACAACTCTATATTTAAAAACCATTATGTCTTCTATGTAAACAAATGATGTAGGCTTGATTTTGGAAGAATCAAAAGACATCGCTCTCCTTTTGTGGTAAGACTGTTAATCAAACTTTATTTTTTGACATGGTTGAGTTTTTAGTTAGTGCACTTGATATTAAGAACTTGATCTCGTTTGTTATTGTACAGCATTTTGTAAATTGACTATAACTATCTTTCTAGAAGTCGGATTAAGGTGATTCAAAATTCTGGAGAAAATTAAGACACATATCTACAACTTTTGTGAGACCAAAAGATCTAATAGATATTTCATTTATTTAAAATCAATGCCTAACCTTTATAACTTGATTTAACTTTGATTATACCATGTAAGGGCTTTCTCTGTTCATATTTTGACTTCATTTTATAATGGGAAATTAGAACATGTAGAAAGTGTTAATTGTTAAGTTCTCGCTAATTCGAATTTTTCTTTTCCCATAAAATAGAGAGAGAGAGAGAGAAAGGAAAGGGCAGGTTGGCCTCATTATGGCATTCATCTCCTATTAAGAAATTAGTTGTGCAAATAATATTTTGAGATTTATCAACACTACTGACCTTAACTATTTAGTATTGTTTTTATACCCGTCTGATCAGCTAATTTACGAGGCCCTAAAGTTAATATTCAACACCTACCGTGGTTAAGCTGTTCACACTACTATCTGATCAAATTATTCTAGAAAACAACTTAAAGTGCATTAGCTTCCTAATTTATTTGCCACAAAAAGTATGGATTGAACTTGTTATTCAACTCGTACTTTCAGTTTTAATATGGCATGTCGCTGTCTGGTCGTGAATATCTCCACTAAAATGACCAATTAAGTGTGACGAAAGTCAGCAAAGATGACACATAGAACAAAAATGTAAAAAAAGAAAAAAGGACCTGCATGCGTAATTTCAATAGAAAGAACAGAGACGTTAATGACTTCGAACGAAAAATCAAAAGTTCCCATGTGTTTTATCAAAAACTGTTCTTCTAGACGATGAAAAATACACTATGCTGTCCTATGTTCAGACAATGAAAATGTAATAGATGCACCTCCTTTTTAGGTACTTCACAGAAAAGGAACTCTTAAGTTACGGCGTCTAGCCACGTGAATGGTGTTCAACCAACAATAAACATTCCATAGACAAGACAATATAGGCACCTTTGTGTGCTTTTCATGTTGCATATTGACATCAAAATCGGGCTTGTAAATAAACAAATCCACATACACAGTGCCAGCAACACAGAGAATAGATAAATAGCCAGTACGACATGCCTACCGAGTTTGAAATGATGCATTCGTCAAGCCATCTTAGAGTGCGTTCAACTGAGGCTTTGTTCCTTTTTTCAGAAGCCCAAGCAGGAACTTCATCAGCTAAAGTGGTCCATAAATTTGGCCTCATAGAAGAAATCATTTCCATGTATTCTGCAGGCTTAATCTGCCAACAACACAGAAAATTTTCAATGAACAAAATAAACTTAATGGGAGGAAAAACACACAAGAAAATGGATTGTAACTACTGTAGTTGCAACTAAAACAAAAAGGCGGTCAATTAAAAACAAAAATAAGAAAGAAAGGGATAAATAAGTTACCAACATACGACCAGAAGGAGTTTCAAAAGAAGCTCCAATCCTGTTAGTACTGTCATGGTCTGGGATAGATATAATAGAATCCCTTGGTACAGCTACAAGAATATGATCACGTAAACCAAGCAACGGGTGCAATCCTCCAATGTTTGAGATTGCTTTCAGGGAAATGCCTTCCAAGCTAAACAAGCAAATTCAAAAATGCTGAATTGTTTGAATCACCTCATCTAAAAGGTTAAAGTGTTCTATGACCAACACTCTTTACATGGTTATAAAACTTCAAATTTATTTTTGTTGGTCTTCAACAAGCGATAGAGTGCACCTCTCACGTACAGTGGTGGTGTACCACCTTATCTAAAACTAAAACGGAAGAGAGGTAAACCTTTTTATTTAGTTTTTCTGATATTGGTCTTCACTCTTGAAGAAGTAAGAAAAGAGCACCCGNCCATAAAATTCAAATCCTGGATCCGCCTTTGAGTATTTACATGGCTTTACTTTGACAGCAGTAAACAAACACCTTGTCTGCGACACAATGAATTATGACAGCTAGCAAAATAGAGAGCGGAGAAGCAAAGGAAACTTACAAGTGAAGGGGGCTGACATGGAAAAGGAGAGAATCAGGGGAAGGGAGGGAAGGGAAGTGGTCAGGAGGAATGAAAACAGGCAAGCCTTTGCGAGTTGTAAGGAGGAGAGCAGGTGTCTCTATTGGGTGAGGGCAGCTTCCCAGCTGAAGAACACCAGCTCGGGCTTTGCCATTGCTCCATGCCTTCACCACAAACTTCATTCTCTTCAGCTTCTCTACTCGGCGGGGGGTTTAGAGAAGCTGCCAATCGCGCCCTTAGCTGTTAAACCCCAAATAAGAGAACAAATTAGAGTAAACAATCGAATATTGCGTGTAATTACCATTAATTGCTCTTTACATATATTATTATTATAAGGAAAATAATGATTTCATTCCCTAAGTTATAGCTATATTCCAGTTTTAGTCTCCCCTGTATAATTTAACGGAGCATACTTAACCAAATTAATATTTAAAAATAAATTAAATATAAAAAAGATTAAAAAAAATAACATGAGTGAAGACTGAAGCTACGTTTCATGGTCCGGACAAAAGCTCCTTTGAGCTAAACGATTAATACGTAAAAAGAACTCTTAAGCTCTACTGTTTCTATTCATTTTCTTCTTTAAAACTCTACATCTTTTGCTAATCTATCCATATTTATATCTATATCTATATATATCTATACTATATTAAAAGCATGAAGGTCATTAACGAAATATCTTTCATATTTTTTACCCTTTAAAAATATATTGTATATTGGATAAAATAGTAATTTAAGTTATTGGCCTAAATTTTAGGGCTTCAAAATTAATTATATTTTGTATATTAAATACTTCCTTATTTAAAATAGGTATGAATCCTAATTTACAGGACTTCAAAATCAATTAGTGAAATTTTACCTTAAAGAATCATTAAAAGAAAGAAAAAAACACAAAAATACTTTTACCACGTTTGTTTTCTCATTCCTTTTATTAATACGAGATAATGTGCCTATTATATTTTAAATTCTAGAATATTTAATAAAATACCTTCAACAAAAGACTAAAATTTAATACTAACGCTTTTTTCCATTTCAAATTTGATCTTTAAAACAAAAATGAAAATCTGAAGTCCCTCCAAATTAATGTTAATTATTATAAAAACTACTTTCATTTAAAGTATTTAATTATTTTTATAATTTTTAGAAGTTTAAAATTGATAAAACTTTTATTTATTAATTTTTTTCTTATTTGGACTGAAAGTCCTATTTAGAACTTTAAAATATTAAAAGTTTACTTTATATATATACTTAAATTAAGTGAGATGCCTTATACGCCTCCTTTTTAAATTCTAATTCTAAGTCATTTACCGGAGTAAATATATCATGGATTAGTCTTCTTTCAATTATAAATTCTCTCACAAGCTTTTCTTTTTTTCTTTTTTTTTTTGGTAATAAAAGACTTATTCAAACACAAACATAAGAACTATTACAACGAGACGTCAGTCTAGATAACATAGTGCCTAATATGTCTCTTTTTAATACATGGGAAACAAAAGTGATAGGGGAGGCATAAGTAAGCAAACAACCAAAAACGTCCACATTACATCCACCTTTATCTAATAGGTCCGCTACTCCATTAGCTTTTCTAAACACATGTTTTAATGGTGGATCATTCGCCTTCCTCAATAGGCACCTACAATCGATCATGTTTTGATATAGACAATTGTTAGAGATAAGAAGGTTGGTTAGTTCCAAGCAATCAGTCTCAATTACTATTGGAAGAAGATTCTTTTTGTCACGACCCAAACCGATGGGCCGCGATGGGCACCCGGTACCTTACTTAACCGAGTACCAACGTAACGTATCTTTCTTATTACATCATCATATACACGTGACATAGGGGCATAATAGGCCAACATGATCATTTATAAACTCAAAACATAGGCCGACAAGGCCGTACAATCTTTCACGTACACGACATATGTCTAAAGCCTCTAAGAGTACATAAATATCATAAAGGTCGGGACAGAGTCCTGCCATACCAAACAATATACATCTAAATCATACTAACCAAACAAGCAACTCCGAAGCAAATGGAGTGCACCAACATCTTCCGCTGAGTTGATAGCTTACTTGGAGGGCTCTCGACCTGTCTATCGGGACCTGCGGGCATGAAACGCAGCGTCCCTAGGAAAAAGGGACGTCAATACGAAATAATGTACCGAGTATGTAAAGCAATATACTAAAAGTTGAAACTGAACTGATAATATAACAACTGCAAGTAGCTGGAAGTCAAAGATAATCTGAAGATATGCTTACCTGCTGATACTGATTCAACTATCTCAATATAGTAAGTAAAATAGATGTCCGGCCTTATAAGGCTCGGTATATATATATATATATATATATATATATAACTGCTCTGCCGTAGTAAGCTCGCTCATAGGTGCTCGGCCATACTAGGCTCTGTATCTCGACCAACTGGGCTCGCTCATAAGCGTCCGGCCACAGTAACCTCGGTATATAACTGTATATATATAACTGCTCTGCCGTAGTAGGCTCGCTCATAGGCGCTCGGCCATACTAGGCTCTGTATCTCGACCAACTGGCTCGCTCATAAGCGCTCGGCCACAGTAGACTCGGTATATAACTTATCATCTGATCAGAGGTTGCCCAATAGGGGTCTGCCCATCGATTATAGCTCGATGGTAATGAAAATACTTTTAATACTGTATATATGTAAACTTTCTGCTCTCTTGACCGGAAGAAGAAAATACTCAATTGAATATGAAGTGCCAATAAGGAGAATATTGTAACTTACAAAACTAAGAAAATATACGTAATTTGCGAGACTAGCCAAATATACGTAAATTCCGGGATGAATTTTTCTTTATGGCTCATAAATAAAATCGTGTAATGACAAGATCATGCCAAAAGAAAGAAGGGAGGACCTTTAACATACCTGAAGTAGGGGAAAAATCCGTACGATATTCTTGGAAAAGGTTGCACTGTACTCCTTTAGAACCACAAAATTTTACGTTGCTAAGGTGCTAATAATTCTTGCTGGAATTGATTTGGTCGCAAGAAATCTTGTTGGAAGCTTGTTGGAATTCCTTACGTTCTGATTATACCTGATGTAGCAATTTGCTGTGAAACCAGACCAAGAGACAAACTGATGTTTTAAGTCCAATAAATCAAGAATGTAGTAGTTTGAAAGAACATACAAGTTTATTTCTTTGTAAATCAAGCTTCCACCGTTAATTATATTGGTGTCCAACTATTATAATCAAGCTTCCACCGTTGAATCAAGCTTCCACCTTTGAAAGACAAACTGTCATGAATTATATTGGTTTGACTTTATTAAATGAATAAAGTGATTTTACCAACTATTTGGAAAGAGGTGTCCTTTATTTAATAACTTGGTTGCCACCTAATTAAGAAGACTAAGGAGTCATTATTTGGAAAGTGGCATTGCTGCCACGTCTTTTTTTATGGTGATAATTATTAAGTTTTTATCCACTTATTAGTTAATTGGGTAATGTTCCGTTACTTGATAATTAATCAATTACCCGCATAATTTAAAAAATACCACAAATTACTTAAAATTCTATTTATATTTTAAAATACTTCATATATACTTTATATATTATACTATCGTGGTCACATGGTACTAGTTCATAATTATCGGGTATTATCGCTCGACCCGTATTTTATTCCAAAATGCCAAACTTGGACAAAATTTATTTTCTTTGACTTGCTCCCCCTTTCACCTTCATGAATTTACTAATCACTTGTGAAATAGCATAATCCTTATAATAAATCGTAATTCACCTTATTAGTGTCTAAAATGTGATTCACCTTATACGTTCACCTTATTCTCTAAACTATTTATTTTCCTTACTAATCGTAATTTAGTGCCGCCAGCGAAATCTTTTCTCTTTCTCTTCTTCTCTTTTTTTCAAATCATTATTGAAACGAAGGCCCAAACGTTATCCTTTATCTGTCACAATTATACCCTCATTTTATTATCAGGTCAACATTTCATTCCTTCTAAATGCTATTAATCTTAGACTCTTTTGAGTTCATTAAGGCTATAGTGAGCTTTGTATAACATAGAGAAACTGTCTGCTCTTCTTGTTTTCATTGGCTTAATCCTAAAGACTTATCCATTCTTGTCACCTTTTTCGCTCGCCTTTCCTCATCCTTACTCATGTTTCCTTAAACTTTTGTCGCTCTACCATACTTTAGCTTGCGACCTATACATATCCATTTATAAACTTTCCTTCAACTTACTTGCACCATAGATTTCTTTATGTTGTCCTAGAATATCAAGCGAGACATAACATCGTCTATAACTATTCTTTACTCTCATAATCAGGCTTTTCGATACCTAGACCATAGGCTGGAAGGTATGCTACTGACGCTGCTGCTATCATTCCTGGATATTGAATCCCCGCGCTTCTAACCTTCTATCCCAAATATGGAATCTTCTCAACCTTCTGCTTCTGAGTGTCTCGTACATTGTTCACCTTTACCTTGCTTTCCTTAAAGCCTCACATCACATCTTCTATCTCTTTCATAACCTTCCCTCTACATATGTATAATTCATATTCACAACGTGAAGTTCTATTATAATACTTGCACCTCTGGTGTATATACAATTTAGTGAGACCTTTATACTGACTTCTTATAAGGCTGGTAGTTCTTCTAACCGGCATTCTTGTAGAGCCATTATAGATTATGGTTGTTGTACTATCCCTCTCGTATCTCTGATTTTAAGGGAGATCCTACAATGTTCTCGATCACGATGTTTCTATTTTTTTGGGTCCAATAATCAAACTCCTGATTTACTTGGGTGATGTAATTCTTTAGTTTCCTCCTCCTTTTGATCGGCCTTTACGTAGGCTTAAGCTACCTTACGACATGTGGCTCATGGTATCAGTTATTACCTTAGCCTTTCATGGGCGTTATGGAATATCCATGACACAATCTCTTAACAATTCATTCCTTTGTCTATGCCCTGGGCTCAATTCTTTCTTTTAACTTATACCGGAGTCTTCTATGGTTGTATGATTATCATCAAATATGCTGCCTGGATAATGCTCCAAAATCTTGAGTGTATCCATAACGTACTAACTATGGATCATTGATCGAATAATTATTTCGTTTCATCTTAGCTTTCCTTCAACGTAAGCTATTACTTTTCCTAGTCTTTTTGTCCCCTTGTTGCGTCCATACTTAGCTTATCTTAGTTCCCACACTTGCCAGAGTTTTCATACAACTCATATGATCTCGAATATTACTTTTAATTCTTACTTCCCGTTCATTAGCCACGGTAGGTGCCA